TGGATTGTATGGTAGCTCTATTTTCAACTTTTTGAGGAACCTCCATACTGTTTTCCAGAGTGGTTGCACCAGCTTGCATTCCCACCAACAGAGCACTGTGTTCTTCTTAACAAGGCCAGGGGAAACTAGCTCACCGAGCCTAACCTCCTAGGGTTTTATCAGAGCCTAACTGACCTGGAAGAAGAGAAACACCCAACCCCAGCCAGCTCTGGCCACCCTGTCCCACCATAGCAAGAGGACTGAGAAACGCTGTGAGGGTCACAGCCCAGGGGCACAGGCTCTGTGCAAGTCGGAGTCCCAATCCTAGGAAAGATCTTACCAAGTCACTAAAGGCCAGTTTCCAACAGTTCCTTTGCCTGGCGCATCATGGCTGGCCATCAAGAACAAAGGACAGGGTGTACCAAAAGCCAAAAGCCAAAAAAAAAAAAAACCCAAGCAAAAACATTTTGAAGAGATACAGCAGCAGCAGAACTAGATGCAGATATAGCAGAAATGCTGGAATGATCATCTCAGGAACTTAACCCACGGTGATTCATATGCTAAGGGCTCTTGCAGGTAGAGTAGACAGCATGCAAGAGCAGATGGGCGATGTAAACAGGGAGGTGGAAATCCTAAGAAAGACTCAAAAAGAAGCTCCAGAGACCAGAAACCCTGTGACAGAAATGAAGAATGCCTTTCGATGGGCTTGTAGGTGGACTGGGTGTGGCTGAGGGAGTAAGCTCGGTGCCTGAAGATGCACCAGCAGAAGCCTCCGAAACCAAGCAGCAAACAGAAACGACTGGAAGAACACAGAAGGGAGTGTCCAAGGGCTGTGAACCAAGGTGTAACCCGTGCGTCATGGGATCAACAGGAGGGGAGAGAGAGAGAGAGAAACAGAAGAAATACGAGAAATAGCAACTGAGAATTTTCTCCAAATTAATGTCAGACGCAAAACCGCAGATCCAGGAAACAGAACAGCAAGCAGGATAAACATCAGAAATGAAGGAAAAACAATCCTATCTCTATGCATATCCTTTTCAAACTAGAAAGGCAGAGGTTAAGAAAATCGTGAAGGAAGCCAGAGGAGAAAACACCTCAGCTACAGAGGAGCAATAGTAAGAATTATATCTGACTTTCCGGAAACGATGTGGGAAGAGAGCGGAGTGAAATATCAACGTGTTGAGAGAAAAAAACCACCAGCCTAACATCCTGGACCCTGAGATATTATCCTTCAAAATGAAGAAGTAAAGCCTTCCTCCGACAAACAAAAACTGAGGGAATTTGTTGCCACTACACCTGCCTTGCACGGAATGTAACCAGAAGTTCTTTAGCGAGAGGGAAGGTGATGCGGATCAGAAACTCAGATCTGCGTGGAAAAAGGCAAAGCATCATAGAAGGAGTAAGTGAAGGTAAAAATAAGAAGCTTCATTTTTCCTGTCCTTCAGTCATCTAGCAGGTAACTGTTTGAAATGAGCATAGCAACACTGCATTCGACTGTGTTTACTTATATGGGTATATGTGTTTGCGAGTAAGTGAAATGAACACTGCAAGGATACAGGGCATGACAGCGAGAGGTTAGGGTTATTTTATTATAAAATCATCCCAATCTTTACCTGTCACCCACAGTTCGAAGCTGTTGCTGGGCCGTGAGGCCCAGAAAGGAGCCTCGGTGTGGTAGTGTACACATCTGTAGCTGCCATGGTCCCTGACTCTTACAGTCCCGAAGGCGAAGTGAGCCACGTTCCCTGATGGTCTCCGGGATGTCAGCAGGCTCAGGAATTCCCTGCTTCAGCAGAGCACACGTGATAAATGCAGTCTCGAGGTCTGTCTTCTGGCACTGAAGAGTCTCGTTCTCTCCTGGTGTCACCGTAAGCCTCTTCTGATTGAGGAAGTTTGGTTTAGATAAGCTTCCTGGAGGAGAAAGAGGGTCAGAAACAATGGGGAGAAGCTCAGGGTCCCCTGAGGTCTTTCCTGGGAGCACGTGAACCAAGGATACCAGGCACACCTTTGCCCAGCTGTGGGCAGAGTCTTGTCGAGGCTCAGAATTTCACTTTCACTAATCCCCAATCAAACCAGTGTCCTCAGACTGCTCCTGCTGTCCTCAGGCCCCTCCGTGGGAGCAGAGACCACTTAACATTCTCTCCTCTGAGTCCCTCTTCATCCTCTAAGGCTGGGGGCGGGGGCAGATGGGTTAAGCCAGACTTTTTCTGGGACACTTCCTTCTCACCTGTAACCACGAGAAGGACATCTCTGGCTGGGGAACACTGGCGGGGGGGCCTCTGTGTGGCAATATTTGCGGGTATATTTCCCCGAGTCTTGCTGACTCAGGTTAACGAGGGGGGACTTCAACCATTCTTCCCGAATGATCCACGGACGCCATGGGCTTTGAGGGTAGCAGGAGTCTTCCCTTGCTGAAGGTAAACTCGACATTCGTGACAGGAGTCCAGCATCTTAGGGTCATGTTACTCTCGGCAGGAACCAAAAAGCTGGGTGAGGCTCTGAGGAAAGGCTTGGGGAGCCTTTCCCCGGAGAGTAGTAGAGCCCAGAGCTGGATTGGATGAGCTCAGCAGTTCTCAGGGGGGCCCTTTGATGAGATGTCACCTTGCATCTCTCAGAATGGCACTCATCCAGAAAACAAGAGACAACAGGTGTCAAGAAGGAGGAGAACAGGGAACCCTGTGCACTGTTGCTGGGAATGTAAGTAGGGGCAGCAGCTACAGTTGGGTGGTTCCTCAGAAAACGAAAAGTAGATCTACCCTTCGATGCAGCAACCCCACTTCTGCACATATAGCTGAACGAAATGAGAACACCGCCTCGTAAAATTACCTGCACCCCCATGTCCTCCGCAGTGCCATTTACAACAGCCAAAACTCACCACTGGACATGTTTTGGCTGTTGTAAATGTGTGTGTCTATGTATAATGGAATATTATTCACCCACAGAAAGAAGGAAATACTGCCACTCGTGTCAATATGGATGGATCTGGAAGGATTGTGTTAAGTGAGATAAACCACATGGGGGAAGACAAATACTGTATGATGTCATTTATACGTGGAGTCTAAAAAGGAAAAAAAGAAGGAAAGAAATTGTAGATACGGAGAACAGACTGATGGTTGCCAGAGTGAAATGGGTGAAGTGGGTGAAAAGACCCAAATCTCCAGTTATAAAGTTAGTCCTGGCGATGCAGCATGCAGCGTGGGGACTGTAGTTCGCAATGCCGTAGTGCTTATTTGAAAGCTGCTGAGAGAGTAGATCGTAAAAAGTTCTCATAACCAGAAAAAACAACCAAAAAATTGTTAACTGTGTGGTATGTGGTATGTATGTTGACTACATTTATTGTGATGATCATTTCCCAATATATACAAACTTTGAATCCTGAAACTAATACGATGTTACATGACCATTATATCTAAAAAGAAAACATGGGGGCGCCTGGGTGGCTCAGTCGGTTAAGCATCTGCCTTCGGCTCAGGTCGTGATCCCAGGGTCCTGGGATCGAGCCCCACGTCGGGCTCCCTGCTCAGCCAGGAGTCTGGTTCTCCCTTTGCCTCTGCCTCCTGCTTGTGCTCTCTCCCTCAAATAAATAAATAAATAAATTCTTTAAAAAGAAAATGGGGGGGGCACCTGGGTGGCTCAGTTGGTTAAGCGACTGCCTTCGGCTCAGGTCATGATCCTGGAGTCTCGGGATCGAGTCCCGCATCGGGCTCCCTGCTCGGCAGGGAGTCTGCTTCTCCCTCTGACCCTCCTCCCTTCTCATGCTCTCTCTCTAATAAATAAAGTAAAATAAAATAAAATAAAAATAAAATGGGAAGAAGAAGCCTCTGCCCCTTGACAAGACCTGGAGAAGAAGAATTAGGGCTGCAGAACAAAGGTGAAGAGGGTATCACCAAGAATCACTCACCGTTGGTACCCCCGCTTCCTTGGCCAGCACACAGCCTTGCAAGAGAACCGTCCACGTGACATGAGCATCCACCTGGAGCCCCGTCCTGAGGGGCCTCCCCGGGGGCTGCTGCTGAGCATGGACCCCGGAGGTCATGCATCTGGGGCTTCTCATTTCCCCACACTGGACTGTGGCTGCAGCTGTGTTCTCGGCTCCTTCCCCACTCTCCCAGAAGGTCTCCTGTGCGGCTCGCTCCTCCCACAGCCCCAGGACCTGTCCTGGTTCCACAGATGTCCACAAACCCTTCCATTCACATCCTCTGTCCAAACCACCCTTATTCTTAGCATTTGCTACTAGAATCCATATTCTATTTCCTTCATTCCCCATCCCCCAGGGAGGAAGGCAGGACTGTGCAGGAGATTGGTGAGCCTGGGCTGAGTATTGCTGCTGGTTTAAGTCCTGATGATCACCAGACGCTGAGTGGGCCTGGGACCCCCCCCCCCCCGCCAGACAGTCTCCTCTATGATAAAAGCATCCCCATAATGAAGGCTGCTTGGTGCCCTGGGTGGCATGAATTAAGACAAACGATTGGGTCATAAAATCTTCGAGTTCATAAAGTCTGCAGCTCATGCCACGGGAGACAGAAGATGTCACTACCTGTGAGCAGCTAGAAGGCAGGGACTCTATGTTCTTCACCTCAGCATGCCCAGTGTCTGCACAGGCCCTGGCACATAGTAGGACCTCAGTGAACTCACACTGACCGGCTGACGAGATGCCTGTCTAAGCGCAGCTCAGATTTTATAAGGGTGGTGAAAAATGCAAACTCAGAGGGCTGTTTAAGTCATATCTTAATCCTCAAGGACCAGAAAATGACAGGCCTTTCCAGATAGATACTGACTCCCATTTACGAACCTGACTGATGCTGGGTCCTCTACTAAATTGTGATTTTTTTTTTTTTTGGAGATGACCAATGTCCTTTCATCCTGTTGTATTGGCACCATCTAGAAGTCTCCACACGGTAGATGGTCAGTTCATTTGAACGGCGCAACTTCCAACAACTGCCGTCATTCCTCCCTCCGGCCCCTGGGATGACACCGTCCTCACCCACGTCCGTGTGGCTGGATGGTGCAGCGCGCCCTTTTGTGGGAAGGAGCTAGTGAGGACAGCCTCAGCCTTTTGTGCTAAAGCGTTTCGGAGCCCATCTTTCCCCTTATGTATTTTCATTCCTTATTTCTCCAAGCAGGACAGAGCTCACTGCATAGCGCCCTAAAACAGATCTCAGGAACAGACCATGTTTCTCCCCCGTCCTACACAACACTGTCCCACACAACAGCTGTGTTTGTAGCATACTCCAACACTGGCTACGCATTGGGCTCCCCAGGGGACTGTGGAAACTCCCAGCGCAGATGGTGACATCAGCAAGATGGTGGGCTGCAGGGGCCTTAGTGCTCGGGTCCCCCACAAAAACAAGAACGAATTAAAAGCACAGCTGCAAACGGGTGGAAATAGCTCTGGGAAATCTCTAGACTGCAGCGAAGAGGCAGCAGAAATGCTGAGAGCTCAAAAAGCAAGTGTGGCCACGTAGGGAAGCGAGGTCAGCCTTTGACCTGCAGCCGTGCAACTCCCAGGCCAGAGCAGCTGGGCACTGGGGGGAGATCCCCTCCGAGGGCTTGTACCGCATGGGGGAAGGGAGAGCAGGAGAACCCCAGCAAGCCTCACCCCAAGAGCCCCACGGTATTCACCCGACGCTGACCCCAGCTGACAGTGGCCCACCGTCCCAGCCACTGGGGCTCCCTGGGACTGGAGCTGTCACCACTGTGGGACCTGCCCCAGGAGCCCCCGTTGCTGCTGCGCCCTGTCATCCCAGGGTCTGGGCCGCTGCTGCGTCCCCCTACCCGGCTTGCGCTCCCAGACCTGATCCGGTGGGAGGCCTGCACTCACCCATACCTCAGGCACTACTGCCCTCGCCTTCCGAGGAAAGCCTCCCCACCCGAGCCGGACCGAGAGGCCGGGAGAGGCGACCACTCCCTCAAACGTGCAGATACGCATGCAGCATGGACTAGCTGCGTGAAAAAGCAAGCAGACAACACTGTCAGGGAACACAGCCATTTTCCAGGAATGGACTCCAAAGAAGCAGAGCACTCTAAGTTACCAGAAAAGAATTTAAAGTAATGATTTTAAGGAAGCTCCGCAGCATTCAAGAGAAGACATGTTGGCAACTCCGTGAACTCCAGAAAGCACGGCATGGAGAAAACAGACGTTCAGCAAGAAGCAAGACCCCCAACTGGACAGAGCCTGGTCTCTGTGCATTAAAGCCCTGGGGCCTGGACCCTTGTCCCTCCTGCCCAGGCCCTGCCGACAGGCGAAGCCCTCCAGCAGACCCTTCCCCGTTGTAATGACCATGCTGGGTGGGCAGGATGTGCACCATTTCAGCTGTTGTGTAACTCTGCGTAAAGGTGGAGGATTCACACCACACATGGAGCACAGGGAGCGGACAGGGTGGAGTGAATGGGATCTCTATGGACAGGAGTGTGAAGGCTAAGAGAATGTGCAGGCTGCTGTTTGCCCAGAGCTGGTGGAGAATCAGGGCAGAGGAGGGATTAAGGAGTCAGAGTCCAGTTCATCTCGGTTAAGAAAAGATTCTCAGCATCATGAAGCAGGTCCTAAGCGATTCCCATTGGAACTCGGTGCCCTCGCCCTGCCGTCTCCTGACTGATGATCACACAGGGTTCTGAAACATCCAGACCTCTTCAGTTCCTGCCTTTGCAACACCTGCCATCACTCACCCCTGCAGAGACTGCTTGGCAGGGGGTGGAACTGGGACCCTCTACTGCCTGCCAAGTGGGGTATCCCTCTGAGGCTTGAGGGCTTCACCCAACATGGTTGGAAGAACATGTTGGTTGGATACACACTTGACCACCTGGCTTCTGATCTAACTGGCATCTTGTGTCAACTCTGCACATCACCTATACAGTGATAAGAGACCATTCTCAGAAGTCTTATCTCACAAGGGGTCAGTGCCTTGGAGCCT